TTCCTCTCCCAGGAGCACCTATGAGGACAGGGTGAATGACAGTTACAAATCTGCCCACAGGGCTTCTCCAAGATCAAAAGATTAGAGTAGCCCTCAAGGCTGAAGCTTTCCTCAACCCCAGGCCTCATGCTCTCTCTCTCTTTCCTGCTACCACCTCCATTTTCCCAACAGGCAGCATTCTTCCTCTACACTTTGTCCCTACTTCTCTTTTAAAAAAAATTTTTTTTTTTGGTTTGAGTTTTGCTTTGTTCTGACTGAGCAATAACAGACCTTCCCATGGGCATTTGTTCTCTCCAACTCCCACCCTTCTTCCATTCTAGTTTATCTCTTCAAGCTTCTGGCCAATTCTATTCCATCATGAGCCCACTTACTACCTATTCCTCTGCCTACTGTCCAGTTTTTCTATCGGCTTTAAGCCTACTAAGCAGGGATCAGTTCATACTTCCCACTCTCTTCCTACAAAATTCTTGGCTTGGCTATAGCAATTCATCTGCCACCTCACCACTTTGCCCCTTTCTCACACATACTCTCACAAGACACCACCACCACTCCACACCTGCCTAGTGCTGCCAAATCTGGCCCCTCTACTCCATTCCCTAGAGGCTCTTCTTCCCTTCATGTAACTTCCAAAGTTGTTTTCCACTTTTCACCATTTTTAATTTTCTCCCTTCCAGTCTCCTGTGACTCCTGAAAATCAAACTCTCAATTCTACAAGCAATTTTTTGTGTGCTTATTATGTGCCAGGCACTGCCAATTTCAGGCCTGGGGGATCAAATGTGATCCTTGCTCCTGCTCTCAGTGTGTTCTTCAGCTAAGCCCTCCCCACCCCCCACTTTCCTGCCATGTCTCTTGCCACCAGGCACCTGGGCATCCTCTTCCAGGAAACTTTGGGGATGAATGCTCACTTGCCATGCACTCCAACTGCTCCATGCCTGCCAGATTTCTAGCTATTATCTGAATTGGTTCCTTCTGATGAACCGTGAACTTCCTTGGGTTACCCAACTGGGGACTTATGGTCCCTGTCAGCTGAATAAAAGACGTGTTGGCTGTGTCACTTATTTCTTCTCTAGGTCTTCTCCTTCACCTTTCCCTCCATTCCTGCTCTGCTCCTGATAAAAAGACTGCCACGGAATGGGGGAAGATAAGTCACAGAATCTTCTGAGAACCACCTCATCTCACTGCCAGATACATAAGCCTCCAGACACCAACAGGTTGGGTCTCACCTCCCTCTGGCATCCTGGCCCCCATATGATGCTTCTGAGTCAGCCAGGGACTTGATCCAACATAGAGATGCTGGAAGATTGGGCTGGTGATCTGTTGCCAGGGAGCACTTCAACAGCAGACTGCTGAGCAGGGCCAGGACTAGGGAGATTGCCCAGCATGTGAGTTTAAGGAGGCCCTCAGTTCCAGGGCCCCGCAAGTGCTGACCTTGCTCTTGAAGACCTGAGTGTTGAGCTCGACTATGGAGTCACCCAGTGGTGGTGGTAGTGACTGTGACTTGACCCTCTAGGCAAGTTCACAATAACTGGATACTCCTGGTGATTAAGAGGATAGGGTAGGAAATGGTGTGGGAGAAAACATGGAAAAGCAGGTGTGCAGATAGGGTTGGAAGCCACTGTCCATTAACCAGTGACGAAGCTCCTCCACTTGGGCAGGCAGGGCCTGAGTTGAATGCAACTCAAAGGCATGGCTCTTCCTCTACAGGAGTTGCCTTAAAGAGCCTCAAGCCTATTGCTTAGGGGATGATCCTCAGATGCCTTGCAGCTTTCCTTACCTCAGCCAGATTGTTTTGTTACCCCTGGGCCTCATAAAGTTTCCTTATTTTCTTGTGTTCACTCTCGCTTTCCCTCAGCCACTTGGAGTCTGGTCTTTTCCATCAACAAAAAAGGAAGGAGGTATAGGAACTGAGAAAAGGGAAAAGAGAAACACAGCCACCATGACTGTCCACTAGCTAGAAATCTGGCAGGCACATGGATGGTAAAAACTCCCACCAGCACAGTATGTGAGTGCCTGTTTCCCCATAGCCTTACCATTTGCCCATCTGATTAAAAATTCCACCATCTTTTTAGTGTTAATGTTTAGTATAGTTTAAATATGCATTTCTAAATTGAACCTTTTCATATTTTTAAAAGGACATTTTGTTTCTGTTAAGTGTTTTTCAAACAACTATTGAATATTTGTTCTAGAGGACATCTAACATTCGTTACAACTCAAGTCCAACAATGATGTGATCAGCATTACACTGGGCAGTTGAGGTAAAAGAAAGCAAAGCATTGAGGTCAGGGTCATTCCATTCGCTCTGACTAAAGTTAAATGCCCAAATGTGCCACTCAAATGTGAGCTCAGAAAAGTGGAGATGTTTTATCCATTTTAATATTCCCAGCACAGGGCCTAGAATCTTGCAGGCACTTAGCCATTAATGAATGAATACTAGGGATGAGATTAGCTATTCCTGGGAATGCCTCTGGCAGAGCACCCAGCCATCATTAAGATCTTGATAATCTGGATAGCTTGCTAATGAGATAGGGTCATTTCTTATATTTCACTGGAGTATAGCCACCCTAAAGCTTATCAGTGAAGAATAATCTGAAATGACCATTGTTAGCTATATAAAGTTAAGGGTCTGGGTCTCTCCTGTCTACTACTGTTCCTGCATATGGTAGGCAGTTAATAAATTGGATACATTTTGCCAAATGAATGAAAGTTTGAAATGAAGAAACCATCATAAAATAAATACATGTAATTTTTTTTTTTTTAGGAAATCTAGAAAACAAATCGCCAGTATCATTCCCATCCTATCTTAGAGGAAAAGGCCTAATTCTAGACCACCTAGTATTGCAGTCTTCTTACTCCTTAGTTTACCAAGTTCTGGGTTCTTGTCCCATGACCAAGAAGAAGGAGGCACACAGACACTGGAGAGTAGGGCAGAATACATTTACTATGTGACAGAAAAGCTCTTAGCAGCAAGAGGGGACTCAAAAGTGGGTTGCCAGAAATGGGGCTGAGTTCTGGGATTTTTATGTGCCAAAAAGTCTTCTGTGGGTTCTATCATAATGGGAGGGGTAAAGTTCCCCCTAGGGGTGTTGCATCTGTGCATGCCTGAGGTTGGCCATAGTGGCTCCATCTTGGTTATTACCCAAGTGCCTTAGCAAAACCCATGGTGGGGGTAGGGGGCAAACCAAAGTGCTAATATTACAATTAGCTCTGGGTCATGTTCAGGACATTTAGTTGATTTACTGTGCCTGTGCCTAAGTTGGGACAGTCCCTTCTGAGCAAACATTCTGGTATAAGAGGAAATTCTTAACCACATTTCCACCTGCTAGCTACACCACAGGGGCAGTACAGGTGTGGTGCTCTCTCTTTTGAGACTCTCCCTATCTACCTAGTCAGCCTCTAATTGTCTCCTCTCTCACTGGTACTTTAGGTGAAAACATCCTAAGACTATAAAGAGGGTAACACATCTGGCTATCATCAGGGCACTTGATTAACTTTATTCTAATTGTGTTCAATAGGCAATGTTTGATTTTCTTATTGCCTCTTTGCAGAGGCATTCTTCCGCTCACATTCACGTGCATAATAAACTTAATTACAACATGGTGAAATAATCAAGTTCTGATCATCTATAGATGAGATAAACCGGCAAGAATTCTAGTTACTAGGCTCTGCATAGGCTTAAAGCAGTGATTTTCAAGGGTGTAAAAGGGTAAATATTAGCATCACTTAACCGTGTTTTGTTGTTGTTGTTGTTGTTGTTGTCTGTTTTAAATACACATACCCTGTTGCCCCTTGCAGGAGATATCAGACTCTCCTGAGGAAAAGACTGGTCCAGTATACCTGGAGAAAGCTCCCAAGAGGTTCTAATACCTCCCCACTGCCACTCTTACCTCTTAAAGAATAAAAAGCACTTGCCAGCTGCTTTCATATCCCCATTCCTTTGACTTCAGCTGAAAACAGCTAGTCCTTTCCTTGAATCAGCAACTTTGATGTTTTGTTTCCCTAGGAACCATTTCTGTATCCTGTCAGCTATGGCAGGAGAACTACTCCCGCACTGTTCTGAACCCCTGCATTCAGACCTAAAATCATACATTTGTTCTGTACTTGGTACACAGTGCTCAATACATGTTATTGCTAAGAAAAGCAAAACGCTATTATCTGGCCTTCTCCATCTCCTTGTATTTCTGCTATGCATTCTGCAAACCTTCATAATTTCCTCTCTAGGAGTTGGCACTTTCTCAGAAAATAATTTCCTTACTGCTGAATGTTGTCAAGCAAACCATATGCCATGATGTTTAAGTCCCCTTTTCATTTTACTGACATTTAAATCACCTAAAAATCATCTTAGCCCAATCCCAACATTTTACTGAGAGGTAAACCAAGACCATGAATGTTTGAGAAATAACTCCGCAAAGGTCAGACTAGCAGAACCTTGACTAGAATCCTGATCTTACTACATACTGGTCCAGTACTTTTCTGCTATAGCACATTACCATTCCACTGGGAAATAATTACACATATTTAACCCTCAGTGACGAGCACCTACCAGGCCTATGCCAGGCCCTGTGCTGGATGCTTTCACACACTTATTTAACTGAGGATTAACGTAAGACACACTTATTTAACTGAGGATTAACGTAAGAATTTTTTTTTTTTTAATTAAAATAGGCTATCAATTCAAGGTAAAAACTACAAACTCATTATAATCAATTCTGGGAAGACTTTGTCCTAAAAAGAATTTCAGTTAAGAACACTTTGAATCAGTGGGACCACTCAACTTGAAGACTGTCTACTCCTTTCCCAACATGCCCTCCTCCCCAGAACTCAATTTGGATTTGCTAGAGTATCTAACACGTGTTAAAGCCGCGGGTTTTCCTCTACTTCTAAGACATTTCTCTGAGTCCTGCGGCAGGAAGAGAATCTCAGTTCTTTACTCTCTTCACTGCACATTACCATCACCCGCCCCTTCCCTTCCAGGTGCAGCAAAGAGGAAACAGACACAGGGAGGTCGAGAGGTCCATTTCATTTCAATTAGTGTGAGAGACGCTCTTCTTGGGGTCTATGGGGGAAAAGCATGTGTCCTGGGTAGGAGGGAAGCTGCTCCCACTAGAGGCATTCTTGACTGCATTCCGAAGACCTTCAGACTTAGGGGTGGTCTTTGAGGAAATCTTTAGTGGAGTCTTCCCCTGCCCGCTAGATGTCCGGTCGGTTTTAGCCGGCGTTGGCTGCTGGATGGTCCGCTGTGCAGGCTTCTTGGGCTCCTGCTTCTCTTCCCTGGGCTTCGAGCTTCGCCTCTTGTCCTGCCCTGACCTCAGGTGTTCCTTCGCGGCCCGTCCTCGCCCGTCTGCCGCTGTGATCCCCGCTTCCTCCTTGGCGCCGGCGCACGGCCGCTCCTTGGCTCTCAGCCTCGCCCTCCTGGCTCTCCTCGCCCTGGCCCTGGCCCTGGCTTTCGCCCTCGCGTTCCGTCTCCACACTTCTCTGGCCTTCCTGGCAGCCTTACGAAGGCGCGTGCGGCGCCTCCGGTGTCTCCGGGGCGCGACTGGGGTCTTCCGGGGACCGCGCGCGCCCTCCTCCGGCCTGGCGCGCCCGGGCTTTCTTTTGGGCTTCGGAACCTTCCAGACCCTGAAGTAACCCGCGGCGTCGCTGCCGCTGACCCGGAGGAGCGTGCCCGTGGCCTCCCGCCTGGGCGCTTCGTGGCGGCCACTCTTCCTGCGCACTTGGTAGCCGGCGTTTCCGAACTCCTTCCTGAGGGTGGCCAGAGTCAGCCCTTTGTGAGCGGCGATGGCCCGGAGCACCAGCTGGGACACTCTGAGCACGGAGCGCCGGCCGCAGCTCGGCGGTCCCCCGACAGTTTTTTCCGCTGGCGGCTGAGTGGCTGGGTGGCCTTGAGAGTCGCCACTGGTTCCAGGTGCCTCAGCCATGGCCCCTCTCCCGCCTCCGCGGGGCCGCCGTCTTTTGGCCCCACCCGCTCAGGCCTGTTCTATAGCTGAGGCGGACTGAGCAACGTCACAAAGGCAGGCTGGGCAGAGATATTCAGGTCCTAATTATGGGCTGGCAGGGGCCCTTTTTACTTCTAATAACCAATCAAATGCCACTTCCTTCTAGGATCCATCCAAGTCTTCTGCGCCTGTCCACTTGCAGCAGTCACCTACACAGTCTCCGGGGTTTTGTTGCCGAATCAAACTTAACTGATCTCGATCTCCACCGCTTTCTTTAGTCGGCTGGTGTGTGTTTTGTGTGTGTGTGGTCCTGCACACCATCTACCTTCACAGTTCCTTAAGAAACAAGCAATACAGTGCTTGTAGAAAATATGCCTGGTAGTCCATGCAACACAACCCAGCCTAGAAAGTCCCACCTTTAATTCCCAGGTAACTGAAGTCATGTCTCCCTAATTCTACACAGTGGATTCTGTGCAAGAGCATGAAGCAAAAGAAGGAACCAACTGTGGTCCCTCTACCCTAAACACTGATTCCCACACCTGGGAAGTTTAGATACCACATTCAATTGCAGATTTCACATCGCCTGAGGACACTGGTCTAATCATTATTCTTTGAACATACTGTGCTTTTCTCCCTCTCATCCCCTCTCTTGGATTGTTCATCCTTTTTCTCTGCCCAGATAAGTCCTGCTCATCTTTCAAGATAATGCTAAATTATCTTTTTTCACTGAAGACTTCCCAAGCTCTTTCAAATGATTTCTTGCCTCTTAACTACCACAACCACCAAAGTTACTTATGCAAACTTATATGGCTTTTTATTTTAAATTAATTTGGCATTACAGAGTATGATGTGGCACAACATTTTTTAAAAAGGAAAAAAAAAGTGGCTGGGTGCGGTGGCTCACGCCTGTAATCCCAGCACTTTGCAGGCCGAGGCGGGTGGATCACAAGGTCAAGAGATCGAGACCATCCTGGCCAACATGGTGAAACCCAGTCTCTACTAAAACTACAAAAATTAGCAGGGTGTGGTGGCACACACCTGTAGTCCCAGCTACTCGAGAGGCTGAGGCAGAAGAATCTCTTGAACCCAGGAGGCAGAGGTTGCACTGAGCCAAGATCACACCACTGTACTCCAGCCTGGTGACAAAGCGAGACTCCATCTCAAAAAACAAACAAACAAGACACTTGTACTTGGAGTTGGAAGATACAGATGCATATCCTAGCTCTTTAGGAGCCATATGACATTAACAAATCCCTTAATATCAGCAGTGTGGCTGTGGGATGGACGTGCCAGCCATCTGACTTCTCATCTAACATCACGTTCCCTTCCTACCAACATCACAGAATTATTGCAAAGTTTCAGAAGAGGTAGATGAGCAAGGGCTACTTAAACACAAGGAATAAAGTTACTTTACTTTGAATGTTTCTGTCCTGTCTTTCCAACTAAATAAAAACATCCCTAAGAGCTACAGTCTTTGAACTTCTATGTCCCATGCTGCACCTAACAATATCCTTCACTATACATAGTAGGCATTTAATGGAGCCTGCTTACATCATTCCTCTCTGGTGAGGAGAGTTTCTCTGGATTCAGAAAGAAACTTCCAGAAGATCAGGAGAAAGTAGCAGAGTGAATTTCAAAGGGTTAGAAATGAAGGGGACCAAGTAAAGACTAGCTTCTTAAGGACCTATTTTGGAAACAGTTTAGTTGGGAATAATTCAAAGAATTATTCTAGGAATACTTTTCCAGAGGGCAATCACACACATCAGCAGTCACAGGCTAGACAGGCTAGACTGTGCCAGTTTCTTTTAAAAATCAAAGCTTCAGGAAGTAACTTAGATCTTACTCAGCCCAGGCTGGAGTACAATAACAAAATCTTGGCTCACACACAACCTCCACCTCCCGGGTTCAAGCAATTCTCGTGTCTCAGCCTCCCAAGAAGCTGGGATTACATGCATGTGCCACCACATCCAGCTAATTTTTGCATTTTTTTTTAAATAGAGACAAAGTTTTGCCATGTTGGCCAGGCTGGTCTTGAACTCCTGGCCTCAAGCAATCCACCCACCTCAGCTTCACAAAATGCTAGGATTAGAGGCATGAGCCATTGCACCCAGCTAGACCAGTACTTCTTAAACTTGAATGTGCATATTTAGTACCCTGGGATACTCATAAGGTGCAGATTCCAATTCATTAGGTCTGAAGACAAGGCTAGAGGTTTTACCTTCTAGGAAGCTTCCAGGTAGTTCTATCTGGTTAAAACACAGGTGTGTGTTGAGGGGTGAGGAGAGGGTAGACAATGAAAAGAGAAGTAGCCAGAGATGAGACTAAAAAGGTAGGTAAAGGACGTTGTGAAGGACAACTAGTGACAATGACAGAACTGTAAGTGGTAACACAGTAGCGAGTTTGGAACCAAACCTGTCTGCTTAATCCTAACGCCTAAGTTCTTAAGTACTGTGCTAGGTTTCCTTTTCTCTAAGGTTGACCCTCTCCACATATCTCCACTATAGAGCAGGGAATAGTTTATCTCCATAATCACAGTTCAGAGCTGCTCAGATTCAAGCGTATTTAAAAGCATTCACTGTACCTTTTCCCATCTTTAAAATCAGGGTACCGCAATGTGACCCTGAGGATATCCATGGCCGGGGAGCTACTCCATCAGCATAGGGACAGTGCACCCAGGAAGGATGCACTGTCCCTATTGCCAGATGGAGAGGCAGAACCACATGACACAGGATTTTTCCCATTTGTATAGTCTCTTGGTTTGGCTACCCTTCCTGGTTGCAGAGGCCAGTGGCCACAGGATGGGGCAAACACCAGATAAAAAAGAGGCATAACTGTTTGCTTAGAGAATAAGGAAGAAAATGAGTAAAATGGGACACTTGAAGTCAGCTGATCCAGAAAAAAATTGACTGACTGGACATTATGGTATAATCATGAAGGCAGGAACAAAATCAACCAACCATGTTTATTGATGCACCTGTGATCAGAAGGGAGACCAAGCAGAAACCTTTGGGAGAGGCCAAAATCAAAGGAAAACAAATATATGAAAAAAAAAATCAAAACCATCAGCAGCAAACATTTTCATCTGTATATATAACCATTCATTTCTGTATAGATCTCTGTACAAATATGCTGTAAGTAGTAGAGGAATAATTTTTTTAAATGAGAGCAGGAAACAAATACCCCATTTGCCACTCAGCTGGTTCAGAGGGCAGGAAAGCTAGCTGACAGATATTTTCCATATCACCAATCCCTTAAGAGTTCTTTTCTTCCTCTTTGGAAGAAATCTACTTGCCAGCTTTCTTCTTCTGACATCCCAAAAGGAAAAGATACTTCATAAAAGTGGTTTCTTTAGGAAAAAAAGTCAGTAAAAACCAGCACAACACCATTGATCCAGAGATACCAACTCCAGCTCCACAAAGACAAGCCTGAAGTATCCCTCTGAATTTTTTTAATTGCATTTTAGGTTTTGGGGTACATGTGAAGAACATGCAAGACTGCTGCATAGGTACACACATGGCAGTGTAATTTGCTGCCCTTTGAATTTTAATGGTCTATGATTATAAATCAGAAGTTATCACTTAAAGAGGACAGCACCACTCTTTTGTGAGAAAGAACAATAGCTCTTAATTTCATGAAGCTTTGTGGGTCAGGGGTAAGAGGGCTGTGCGGAGGAAGAAGGATAATTGGGAATGATGTCTAACCTATACCCTTCTACTTTGAGTTCCAGAGCAAGATAGTTTTTGTTCTTGGAGGTCTCTAGAGGAACTTGGTTGCTTTCAAGAGTAAGCAATCTTTACATACTAAATTCCAAGAACATCAGAGTTTTCATTCATCTCACTCCCTCATACAGAGTTATACTGATTTAACTTCACCAAGGATAACTCCATGCTAGAGCATAGCAAAATTCAGTAGCATATTGATCTAACCTCAGTCTACCTCACTGCCCCTCGCTGGATCCAGAGGCCCAGGATTCCAAGGTCCTATGCCTTTCTGACCCAATTATCTTGCATTTATTTAATTTATCTCATCCCAAGCTGAATGACAGAAATCTGGTCAGCAGTATACTAAGACTCCCCCATTGACCTGAACCCGCTACTACATTTTTTCCCCAAAAGTCACTTTCTTACTCATTTTGTTTTATATTCTAAGACCCTATCTTCCCCTAAACTACTATGTGCCTTCTACTTTAATACAAATGACCTCACAACAGTCATTTGAACAAATAATCCCATCAGTCCCAGTCATGGCTTTGGAGAGGACCAAAGTGGCTTACAAAAAGAAATGCAAAAATAAAATAACTATGTTCCTTAAAAGCATGGAGATAGTCTGGCAACTGTGCATTCATCCTTTTAATCCTCAGAACAATTGTTTGGAAGTGAGTCCAGGGAGCCTAGACCCAAGTGATCTCACTAGAGGACCAGGAAAATCTCTCGGCAATTAGACTGAAAATATGAAGATCTGGTCTCCCTGGCCCTTTCCATTGAAGAATACTAAGGATCTTTAAACACCCACATAACGTATAAAAATTTAAACACCCCACATAACGTATAAAAATCTATACCTGCACCTCCACCCCTAAATGACAGCAAGGGAGAAATGTTTGCTTTTACTGTTATTAAAACGTTTGCTTTTAATGTTATTAAATTCCTACCCAAGATAGTTTTCTTACCCAAAGCAGGTGTGCTACATAAATTAAGCCACTCATCCAAGCATTACTAATAGTTAAGTTTTTGCACCAGCCCACAGTATGAGGCCTCTAAGGACCATTTTACTGTGGTCAGTTAAATCTCAAACTGAAAACCCATTTCTCTGAGGATTCATACTTTCAATATAAGGTTTGAGGCATCCCAAGGCACAGTCAAGCTGCAACCCCACAATAATACTACATTCTGGGCATCATTTGATTCTGTTATAGTAATCCCCAGACATCCACTCTTGTCAAAATCCCAGAATACTGCACAAATGAAGCCAAAGCAGAAACACAGAAAATCATTTACCATATATATGCAACTGCTGTTGTAGTTTGAGAATTAAAACATCTCAAACCTACATGTCTAATTTTATGTTGTATGATAGTACATCCCCACCTCAGAGAATCTTATTTCTATCCAATCTCTAAAAACCTAAAATTCCACAAAATCCAAATTCATTAATTAAAACTTGTTCTCCAACAAATTAAGTAACCATGAAAATAAAAGTCCATGCTAAAGAATATAACCAATAACAAGCCTTATTTTCATTCCTATTTCACAATACTTTCCATAATTATACTGTATCACAGCATAATTTCCTCCATTTTTCCTTTAAAATTCCAATTCTAACTATTTGAATTAA